GCAAGGACAGAATCGGGTCTTCTCTGTGCCTTCCTCATGGGAATGCCTCTCCTTTCTATCAAACAAATGAGAGGGCAGTAGTGGCACACTGACAGCACTGAGCCCGCCTACTTGATCAGTGTGCACTGTATTTTCACGGCCACGGGCCATTCGGTGAAAGGCAGCACATCGCGACGATGTTAAACGCTAATAGTGAAATAAAAAGATCTAAAAATCGATCGCAAAACACTTGTAGTTCGGCATATGTGACTGAACGTTACAAAAGAGTAACGCTGTTTCATAATACCCAATCACAGTCTGGTACCCTCCCATTCTATGCTCTCCCAGACACAAGCGGCCGACGCCGATCAATATCGGTCTAATGTTGCGTTCCCGCCCGTAGCATTCTAGCGCGATTACAGACACCCACAGCGCGTCAACGCGCTATTGCGCGCTACAACGCACGTAGCTGCGAAGTCTAAACGCAGCCTTACTTAGCTCATTGAACGATAGCATGACAGTGCTCAGGTTTCTGAGCGGCTGTATGGTCAGCTGCCTGTACTGGTTACCCAAAGCGATTCACCAATCATCGGCATCCTTTACATGTCTGTGCGCCAACATCAATTCCTCCTTTATACAACGTGACGGCTAACCAGAAAAGACCTAATTAGGTTTCCAAAACAGATTTCTAACTGTTACTAGTTACTTAATAGTTACGAGTGCGGCTTGGAATAGTACCCGAAAACTAATTCTCAAGCTAATCACTTCTACCGTAACTTTGTGAGCATGTCCATGCTTATTCTTTAGAATAATCCATCTTGACTCATGCCACCTCCTCTTCGTGGAACCATTCCCTTGATCGCCATATCTGACCCCGCCTCACTCTGTTTCCCTCGTCTCCCACTCGTGGTCTTCCCACTTCGTCCCATGAGGATTCAATTTCAATGCCGTGAAATCAACACATCGCTTTGTGTGAGCATCTCACAAATAATAAGGGACCCCTCAATGAGAAAGAAGAGATGGGACAAAAATTCATGCTCACTCTCAAAGAAAAGGAAATGCATTTTAAGGACAAATTCCGCGATCATAATGACTGGGCCTTGTGGTACGAATGTGAAGCCTTACATACGATTTACTGCTAAAGAAAAATTGACAAATAAACTTCGAATAAGGCTTAGGGATTGGACGAGTGTTCCGGGAAGCGAGGCATTCTGCGCGGTCGAGAGACCATAAACAAAGGATAAGAGAACAAGGACACAAGCAGGAACAGGATCAAGACGACAAAGACGTGTCTTGTGCAGAATGAGCGCAACGCGTCCCATCGGTGCATGCTATTACAGGACTGCTGGCATATCTCGTCCATAAGTGGGTGGGGCAAATTATACGGGCGGCGCATCTTTGACTTATTGCTGTTGCTGCACTCCTCCATCATACAAAGTGAAGCTGCGGAAGCGAAACAACCTGTGAAGTGCATGGGGCTACTTGTACAAGGGAAGGATTCTAACTATCGCGAAATGTGTCTTTAAGCTTATTTTCAACAAATCGAACTCACCGGACAAGTTGGGCAAAGGATGCTGGTTAACAAATGGTCCGAAGGATCCGTGCATCTCTCACACTGACAATCAAAATACCATGTATCTTTCAGTTGTTTTTTCCTCTGTTGTAGTGAACTGCAAAAACGAGAACATGGAAAAATAGAATGAAAATGGAAAAGAGAAAAACAAATAACTCAAAGCGAGAATTGTAACAAACCAGTGCACTCAAGGTGCAGATGCACAAAGCTACTCCACAAAAGTACCTCAATAGATCAATGTAGGTATAAAATGTGGTAGATCGATTTTTAATATCGACATTCGAATTCAGTCCTCTCAATGTCGCAACAAATCCATCACAGGTGAATATCGTATTCGGACGACACGAATGATCATACGCACATAAATCCAGGTACAAACCTTTTCCAATTTCCTAAATTAAATTGGTAGTGCGTGATCGTATAAGGACAGCAAAGATTGAAAAAAACTATGCAGAAAAATAGCAAGGAAAAAATGCCACAAATTGAGAAACAAGCAAGCTGAGGCGAAGACGCGGTAGAGAAAGAGTAATGTGGCGCGAAAAGATCGATGGAACGAAAACCTGAGTCCAAGCGTTTAAAGCAGCGAAGGAGAACGAGAAATACGGTCCCCGGACTGAGCGTGGGAACGACCGAAGACGAAGTTACTGCGGGACAGAATTCGCTGGACGAGAGGAGGGTGAGAGATCTGGCAATTGAGTCAATCGTCACAGGCGCAGCACGTTCAAAAAGTGCGCTGCTTCAATGGCAACCTCCTCTAACACGTTTTAGACCTGAGGTGCACCAGAGAACTTGTTAGACGCTGGTAGACGCTGGTGGACGCTGGTAGACGCTGGCAGACGCTAGATCGATATCTATACTTTCCAGTCGCTGACGCTGCCGGACGCTCGAAACGCTGGTGGACGCTGCCGCAAAGTATGAACGCAGCCTAACGAAAGCGGTGCCTCGCTCAAAAGTGGCTGTTCTGACGTCTAGCTAGCTGCACCGCTCACCCAAAACTCAAAGGCTATTTTCTGTCACGAGTTCAGTTTTTACACAGCGCTTTTCTTTTTTCACCGTAGGATGGTATCAGCAACGAATGACGCGAAGAAACGATTAGTAGCTTGATTCGGCAGGGTGTTGCTTTGCTGGCATGGAACGAGCAGCTTCGGAGAACTCGTCCAGAGAGCGTGCCAGGTGCTTCGGGGTGTTTTTTTTTGCTTTATCTTCTCTGGAGAGTCATTCCGCGAGCATGGGTTATGATCGAACCACCCTACCGTCATGTCACTATCCACAACCGCGCCTTGGGACCCTTCGACCCGAAACAGATTCCTACTGTCATTTTTAAAATTTCTGAATCATCAGCTAAAATTATGATACTCTCGACAAGTTATGTTGCCCCAGCCAAGAAGAATCCTTTCGCACAACATCGGGGATACACTCTCGCCAAATAGTAAGTCAAACTTACACTAAACGACAGGAACATTGAATGGCAAGATGGCTGGGGGAGACTTGGAATGCGAATAACGACTGGGGAAGGGTGTGCCCTCAAAGGACTCTTTGTGCAAAACTGGGATCACCGCTAGAGAGACAAAGAGCTGAAAGAGAACTAGCTCCTAGGTAGGTGAACCAGTACAGACACAGCAGTTCCATCCTCAGTCGGGTAGTCCTGGTCTTGCACAGGAAGTCCCCGAATGCCATGAAGGCTGTGAGCGCCAAACTTAGTAACAGCAACAGTGATAGTAACAACAGTAATAATAAGTAGTAACTATAATCGTACCTTAACATAGCCTTTATCACTAATCGCGTGCCTGTTGATGTAGTCCCTGCAGTGCAACTCAAAGACAACTCTTTCGACATCATAAATTTTTGCTCGTAAAATTTTGTTAGACTCTCGTAGATCTCTGAAAAAACACTTTTCAATGCTAGTAAAGCAGTAGCGCCAATATCGACTGCCCAAAAAAAAACTCGCCTTCAAACTTATTCATGGCGTACGAATCTTTTCGAATCTTTTCTGTGTGAGCCCAGATTTCTAGAATGGTTCTCTCTGATGTGCGGTCCTTGTAGAAGCCTTCCGTTTTCTTGTCCTTTCCACTACATATTTCCTGAATAGGACCATTGATCAGCTTTCTAGCTTTGGAAGGAAAAAGATTTTACGCCGCCTTTGGTCCAGGACATCGGAATTGCAGCGGCGAACAGAGAGAAACAGAAAAAGGAAATGCATTTATCGCTCCAAATTGCGAAGGAAAGACTGCGAGCCAGAAGATGAGGCCTTTTCGTAAGGGAGGAAGTTCGGGTGTGTGGACCATGTGTTTTGTGCTGAAGACCGCAGTTTCAAATTACCTACGTGTTCTGCGCCAAAATATTACAGCTTAGAATGTGTTCATACTTTGTCCGCGTTTTGAGCGTGTCGAGCGTACGGTACGTTTTGAGAGACTTATATGGATATTGACCCGGCTTTGAGCGTAACCAGCGTTTCCAGTGACCGCTGGCGAAAAGTTCAAAACTAAACGCGAAACGCGCAGAACGCTGGCATACGCCCAAAACTTCAGATCGATATCTGCTCTTTTCAGTTACTCACAACGCTGGTGTACGCTAGATCGATACCAATACTATCCTAGTCGCTCAAACGCTGACACAGAGTATAAATGCAGACTTACTGGAGTAGTGCTAAAATATTAGGTTGTTCGGAAAGAAACTGCTGTACGGTCGATGCAGCACTCCCTGGTCAAGAGAGAGTTCTTCAAAAGAGAATCCATTCTTTGCATAAACGTTGGCAACAAGTCATTGATAGTAATGGAGATTATCTTTTGAATTAATCTTGTTTAATTTCGTTTTTATAATAAAAAATTTTTAAACTCAAACGCGCATTTCTTTCCGAACAACCTAATAAAACTAAATGCAATGGCCCACTAATAGCCACAATCAAATCAGAAAGACTGCAGTAGAATTCAAGACGAAGAAAAACAAATCAAAATAATTTTCACGTTGCTTGTCCCATCTGAACGTGCCATAAAATTCGATGATGGACCATTTAGGTTTCGAAACTACTCTACTTACAACTTGAACCATGCTCTTACCAACCTTGTGCCTTAGCACAATTCTGCCAAGCATTCTTGTTTCGATATCTGGAATCGACTGTGCGTTTCGTAACCCTTTGCATTCCGCCTGAAATAAAGGAACACTTTAGGGTGCTCTCGCGTGCTATCAAGCATTTAATCGTCGTGTAATAGCACCAGCTCACTGCATTGGTATTAGAAGTACAAATAGGGCAGGGGGCACTCTAGCGAAAAGGGGAATACAGCCAATCGAAGCACGGCTCCTCCAGCCCTGGCTAACGCGCGCCCCTCAGTGAAAACAAAATCTAACAAGCGCCCTCCTTTCTCGCCTCTTTGCCCCACAATAGTCCAACGCGCCTGCTACAAGAGGTATACCCTGACATTAACAATACTTCTTGGACATTACAAACAAACCACCTACACCTCAAAAGCTCAATCTCATTTCCAACCTTTTCCCTTTAGTTCAACAGCCCTCCACCGGGATCAAATGCGACTTTGTCTCGGCGGGACTGCAAAACAAGGTGCACGAACACCTTGACCCTTCCGAAACCGAGATGGGAGGGGGCCGAGGCGATGTATAAACGAGGTACGGCGTGGCGGATGTGCGAAATGTATGGTCGTGAGTACGACCGTTTGAAGATTAAATGTTGAAGACTGAACGTACATCCAGCCGGCTTATACAATAGTTCGTATACAGGGGCTAGTAACGCACTTCAATCTTGGGTAATTAAACCGATTACGGTGCGCCCGATTGTGTGCGTTCATGACGCAACATTTTTACCATCACGCGCAATTTGGGGTACTGTATGCGCAGCCTGACAACCTGACAACCTGAACTTATTATTCCTGTGAGACGGTCTTTTAGGCGCGATCGCCACTGCCACTGAGCCTGTCGTACATGCACAAGAAATGTACGTTTTCCGCGGTTGGACAACTCGCCCCAAATCAACTTAATTGCAGAGCATTTCGCCATAAATACACTATACTAGGTCAATGTTGTTTCAGTGATATACAAAGGGGCCAAAAAAAAGTCACTTCGACCAAGTCACATATCAGCAAAGTTTTTCGCTGCCAGACAGAGGACGTGGATACGAGTACCAGGACGGAGGATACCCAAGATGTTCTCTATAAGCGAGGAGCTGGCGCTCGCCCATCACCTTCATGTACACCAAAATATGAAGTCATCTCCAGCCGCAACCTGACTGGAGAAGACCTTCGGAATTCATGTCACCTCCGAACAGCTGCGAAACTTCTAGTATGGAGTCACCCATAAATAGCTACCTGGAGAGCAGTACTCTCGATCTGGAAAACCTCCATCATCGAGCAGCTCCGTCAACGTCGCTACGGTCTAAGACATCATCTTCACCTCAGTCGCCAAGGCGCCAGTGATGGTGGGCACCGGACCGTTACCAGGCAGGACCGACATTTGTTACTTCGTGGGCCGGACTAAAGGCTAAGCGCTGGCGGTATATGTTGGGCCAACTCGTTTGAAGAATACCTACCTCACAATGTGGTCGCACCGCACCCTCTCTCTCTGGGTGGAAACTTGTACTGCTACCAGCACTTGATGTGAACACCAACAAATCGACGAGCGCTGGGGAAACTCCTTGCCTGCTTGAACTGCGAGGGGCCTTAAGTACTGAAAGAAGGTGGTATAAGCGGTAACCTGACCTAAACCCCCTCAATTACCTGGCTCGGGCGGAGTTCAATAGGGTGGTCTACAGTGGCGGAGAAATCAACGATCTCGCTGAACTCACGCACCCACTGACGGTCGCGTGGCAGAATCTCTCGATGGCGCTCCTCCAGAAGGCTGTGGCGGAGTATCATGATAGTATTTGATATGCTCTTTAATATGGTGGTAGAAATGTCCGATAATAATTTAATAAAGTGTAACTTATAGCGCCTCGAAAGTCGAGGGAGAAAAAGCCTTTTTTTGGCCCCCTGTACATCTCATCCGCAGATAACACCCATTGATCAGGGGGGAAAAACCTGCGGTATGAGATTTTGGACGAATAGCCCTTCCTTGCAGGGTGGTTCGCCCGACATGTTTTGACATGTTTTCGGCACCTTAATCACGCCAAACGGCACACACCCGTAGAGATGTACTACTTCGCCAGCGGGAAAAAAGCGCGGAAATGAAGTATACGCGATAAGCCTACCACAGATACGCAACACGCCACACTGCCACCTATTCGCCTAACCATGGTCATATTGTCTACTTGTTTGTGCTCTCTTATTTTTGGCTGAGAAGCCATTGTTCTGTAAGACTCGACTCCGACAACGCGCCAAGATGTTCACTGAGGACCTTAGTCGCTCACACTCTGCAGCGTACCTACTGGCAAAATGCCCGTAACGGGTGGCGTGCACGATTACACACCAAAAAAGGGCGGAAACACGAAAAATACCGAGGTAGCCGAACTCTTCTTTTTTGCACATGCAGTTAGGCTCGCTGCGGATGAAGGGGCGTGTCAAGCGGGATGGGCTTGGCGCGGCGCCAAACTCGTTCTTCGGCAGTTGCTGAAGTGTGTAAGCGACAACAATTGGTGGAAACGACTGATACGAACGATGATGTGATACAGTCTTGTCGCATGCTCGCTCCAACAACTAGTGGACGGTTTTGGCTCCACCCCAAACCCATCCCGCCTGACACGCCCCTTCATCCGCAGCGAACAACTGGATTCAAGTGGCGAAAGGGCCACACTTGACGAATTTGTCCACCTCGCACGTAATGGTGCTGCGTGCCTTTAAAAGATCTCCTGGAGCGTTTCTCAATGACGAGATTCTAAGAATTTAAAAACAGATACGACGATAATACGAAGAACACACCTTATGATCCTTCCATCCGAGCGTCTGACAGTCTTTGCCACAAAATAAAGCGAATCCACACCCGAGGCATCTCCTAAATGTAGGACGAATTCATAAAGTGTTACTCGGACCGGAAATCGTTACTGACGTTTCACTTCTATGAAGAATAATGAAAAGCTCTCCACATGTACTAGTGAAACTAACAATGCCATTAATTGTCACATGCAGTATTCAAACGGTTTAACAAAAGACGATGCAATAATGCACAACACACAACATACATCTCACCAAAATATTCAAATTCTGAATGAAATCCAATACTTCATTTCGTCACTGGAAAATTTGGCGTCAAGCTAATTAATGTAAATGAAAGTGGGAAAAGTTTAAAAGGCTCAGAATCATCTCGCCATCTCACATCATTCTTTAGATA